TTCTTCACTCAAGGACGAAACACATTGACATTAGGCATCATTTCATTAGAGATCATGTTCTCAAAGGTGATGTCGAAATTGAGTTTGTTGAAACACACAACCAATTAGCCGACATTTTCACAAAACCTTTAGAGAAAGAGTCGTTCTTCCGCATTCGAAGTGAACTCGGAATCCTTGACTCCACGATGATCTAAGTTTTGAATCTAAATTTATTAAACATTTACTAACTTGAGCGTCGGAGAACTTTTTCTTTTTTGCAGGTACCCCGTTCATGAAATCAGGGGGAACCATGCAAACAGCGCTGTCCAGGAGACACAACAGCGCTGTTGAGGGAAACACTGCCAACCAGAAAGTTTTCCAACAGCGCTGTCCATCAACCCAACAACGCTGTCCCAGGGAGTCCCTTACACCTTCACTTTCCAGAAACTTTCTGAACATCGATGTTCCCTTTTGAACTTCCCAAAACTTTTTGTTTTCAACCAAAACCAGAAACCTTTTAAACAGCGATGTCTTACCTTCAACATCGATGTCCATTTTTACAAATTTTTTCCAATCGCATAACAGCGATGTAGGATAACCCAACAGCGCTGTCCTAATGGGTTTACACCCTTACACAATTCCAGAAACTTTTGGAACATCGCTGTAGGGTACTCAACATCGCTGTCCTTTTGACTCTTGTTTTTTTAAAACTTGACGCAAAACAGCGCTGTACAAGGAACAACAGCGCTGTCCCAACAGCGATGTCCCCTGTAGAACATCGCTGTTCTGGTCAAAATTTTCAAAAAAAAAAAATCTGTTGGCTGCAGCATTAACTTCTCCAACAGCCATAATTTTGAAAATCATGCCATTGGACACCACCTTTCCTATAAATTGGGACCCCCTCTCTTCACTTTTACACACACAAACACAAATTCCTTCAATATCTTCACATATTTCATCCTCTCTACTCTAATTTTTTGAGTTTTCTTCACAATGGGCAAAGACAAGAACAGGGCAGGCACCTCCGGAAAATACAAGTCCAAATCCCGGGCTCCATCCACGACCTCCGAGGAACGCCTCTACTACGGCAATGGATCGTACCTCTGGTTCGATTCCGAGGAGGAGCGCACCCGATTTCTCACCTTTTTCTCCAAACGGGTTGTGGCTCCCCCACGAATCATCCCAGAGCGCTACCCGGAATTGCAGGGCTACGACGACCTCGACGCGCAGCTTCATCAAGCCGGCCTTTGGCCGTTCATCTCCCGGGCGCGCAAAGAGATCAACCCGGCGCTGATCTGGGCCTTCTACTCCAACCTCCGGCGTGAGGACGACGTGCTCTACTCGCTCGTCAAGAGCACGCCGATCGAGCTCACCGTGGAGCAGCTTGGGCGCATCGCCGGCCTCCCCTTCCAAGGCGACGATGTGTCTCACTATGGTGGCGAGGATTGGGTGCTCAATAATGAGGGCCTTATCCTCAACGAGCTTGGCATCACCGAGCTCAAACGCCATGCCTCGGGACGCCCAACCATCCACTCCGCCAACCCTGACGGCCGCCTCGTTCTCTACATCGTCACCCGAATCATCAAACCGAGGAAGCACTGTTAGAATAAGTGACCAACGCTAGAGGGGGGTGAATAGCGTTTGATCGCAGAAATCGCAGGAATAAAAAAATTAAGAACGTGAAAAGTAAAGAGCGTAGAAAGCGTAAAGGGAGCACACCAAGATTTATACTGGTTCACCACAACGTGTGGCTAATCCAGTCTCCCGAGAGACTCTCTCGAGCTACACTACTTCCGTTAAGCTTACGGGTGCTTAACAAACCGTTACAACCTGAGAACTCGAGTCCCACGAGCCTCAACAACCTTGCTCGGAGATACCGCACTCCAAGACTTCAACCCGAAAGAAAATACCTTTCCTTCGTACAACCAAGGGAAACAAGCTTCCCTTAACGTGTATACAACACTAAGACACTCTAGAACAAGGCTCTCTTTTAGAGTAGATGTTGAGTAAACTATATACGCTCAAGAACAACTCAAACTTCACACAATTTGGCTCTAGAAAGCTATGGAAAATGATGTTATTTGAATGCAATGAAAGTATGAATATTGTGAAGTGAATTGGTGAGAAAAACAGACCTAAACACCCCTTTTTATAGTGCTAAAATAGGCTCCAACGGACTGATGCATTAAAGGGGTGATTGGCTTGATTTATGGGATGGAATAAATTTGGGATCTGCAGGATATTGGCTTCCCATCGATGTTTGGAACTTACCCATCGCTGGTAAGCCAATTTTCCTTCAGTTTTGAAGCCAACGGTCACCTACCCATCGATGGGTAAATTCTTCCCATCGCTGGGTGGGAGGTTGACTTTCAAATAAGGAAAGAATCAGCCTTAAATGACTCCCAACGATCATGCCTTCCCACCGATGGTTAAGCCTTCCCATCGCTGGGTTCCCATCGATGGGTAAAGCTTCCCATCGCTAGGTAAGGGCATTCTGCCTTGTGGTAATGTTGCACCAAGGCTTTAACATCGATGGGTAGAACTTCCCATCGCTGTTTGGCATGGTTCTGGAAATTGGTTTGGCTAAGGGACTGCTTACCCATCGATGGGAAGATCTTCCCATCGCTGGGTGGGTGGTTAGCCAAAAACCCATGGTCTTTGCCTTAACCACGGCCTAGCCAACCGATGCAAAAACCGACCGAAAAATCCAAAGTTCTCCAAAATAAAAACCAAGTGTTTGAAACACTTATTTTATGTATTTGGCTAAAAAATCAAGTGAGTTACTTTAAAAACCACGTCATTTAAGTAAAAACCACGGCTAGCCAAGTTTACGCCGTTTTGCGTGGTTTTTGTCAAACGACTAAAAGCGAAAGATGGTTTTCAAAGTGTTTTTGTTGGAGAACCGTTTAAACATGCCAAAGAGTGAAAGCAGATCATAAAATGCTGAAAACCACTTGGTTGGTTTGGATGACAAAAACCAAGGCCGATAACCGAAAGCCGAACGCTGGTTTCTGAAAGCCGAACACTGGATGACTTGGTTTTTGGTTTGGGCGAACACCAAGTGTTTTTAATGACTTAAACAAGTTTGAAAAACATTTTTATGATGCAATGAGAGATTTTAGCCTAAAGAGCCAAGGTGTAAAGATTGGGTCGGTCTTGATCACAATAAAGACCGACTCAATACTATGACTAAGGTCTTCGTTCTTGGTCTTCTTTTAGCTCTTGCTCTTGTCTTCGTTCTTCGCCTTGTATATTCAATGTTTGACTTGATCACAGCGGTTTGGCATTATCAAAACCTGTCATAAGAACAAATACGGCTTTAGTACGAAAAGGTGATAAACCCGTGTTTCAACAATTTCCCCCTTTTTGATAATGGCAAACAAGACGGGGTTATGCATAGGAGGATTGATTTCAGACTTAAAAAATATTCCCCCTTAATAAATGCGATTTTCTTTTCAACAAAGTTTATTTGTTGAATAAGAGTTAGTTTTAGAAAAAGTTCCCCCTCAACCTATGCATAACCTTTATATCTTCCCCCTTTTGACATTAACAAAAAGAATTAAAGGTAAAATTTTGTTCATTAAAAGGGAAATGTGGAATACAACGGATAAAAATACAATCATATTTAATAAGGAGAAAATAAAGAAGAGGTCGTGGCGTCGGTGTTGGCCTTCTTCTTTGAAGCTTTGCTCTTCTTTCCTCCGGTCATGATTGAAGCGTTTTGGACGAAAGATTGATGGAATGAGTATAATAGGCTAAAGGAAAGAAATTAAGATGTTAATTGTGTGTTAAGAAGGTAAGGGATGGTGTGAATATATAGGGAGAGGAAGATGAAACCGTGTGAATTTAAAAAATATGGCTGTTGGGCATTAAATTCTGTGCCCAACGACCATAAATTTTGAATTTCAACTGCCTTCCCATCGATGGTATGAACTACCCATCGATGGGAGAGTCGCTACTAGAAAGCGAGAAGAAAATCAAGTTTGCCTTCCCAGCGATGTTTGGATTTACCCATCGATGGGAAGGTGGCTTCTGGAAATGCGTTAAAAACCTTTTAAAAAATAGTGTCAAACACCCAGCGATGGGAGAAAGTTCCCATCGATGGGAGCGGAGGTTCTGGGAAAAAATTTTGAAACATAAGTCATTCACCCAGCGATGGGATAAAATACCCATCGATGGGTAAAGGATTTCTGGAAATCCGTTAAAAGTTTTTTTTTAAAAAAAAAAAGAGTCAATTACCCATCGATGGGAGAAAGTACCCATCGATGGGAAGAGGGGTTTTGGAAAAATGAAGACTTCCCTCCCAGCGATGGTATAACCCACCCATCGCTGGTTCCCCCTGATTTCCAGAATTTTTCACTTCGAACCGTCCCTGCAAAAAAATAACACTTTGGTACCCAAAGTATGTCTATGGGTCCTTGGGGGTTAGTTAACATTTATTGCCCACGCACACACCCAAAACACGTTTCCTTACACACACACACACACACGATTAGATGATCGTCACGATTAGATGATCGTTTATGAGTTACCTTGGCCAACCCATGATCTCGTGGTTGGCGGGTTCCAGTCTACCTGAACGGAGTGTCGATATCTCGGTGTGATTTGTGTTGGTTCCGGTAACGGAATGTGGACTTTCTTCTTTTCGTCAAAGTAGAAGAAATAATACGGTTTCTTTTGTGCATTATCCTGTGAAGATTGTTTATGATACGAATATCCTTTTCTAAAGGATTTTTTTTCGTTAGCACCAAATATGTTGTGTGTTTCATTATAGGTGAAGTGCCTATGTCTGGTAAAACACACATGAGCTATATGTCCTACCCTATTGCAATAATGGCATACTACGTTTGGGTTGAACATATGCCTAGGTTGATAATAGCTAGGGGGCCTAACCATGTTTGTCCTATTTTTAGAAAAGGATGGTTTATGCATGTTTTCAAAAGGATCATTTCTAGGTGTTCTCATATTGTCTCTTCTATTTTGAGAAAAAATATTTTTATGCACAAAAACATTTTGACAATTTTTCTTAGGTTGTCTACCATGAACGTTTTCATTCCTAGGTTTTTGTCTAGGTTGTCTAGTGTTCTTAGGTTGACTAGGTTTTCTATTTACTTGATTTTTGGCTTTCTTATGTTGAGCCTTAGGAGGTTGTCTAGGTGTTTGCTCAACGTTTTCTTTATCCTTAGCTTCATTTTTATTAAAACCTATTCCTTCTTTAGAAAAATGCATGGTGTCAAGGAGTAAATTAAGATCTTTGTGTGGAGTATTAAATTTCTTAATCGTACTCTCAAGTTTAGTGACTTGTTCCTTTAAAGCTTTACAAGATTCACATTCGTTTGAGGAACTTTCCGGTTTGTCGGCGCTTCTTTTGCCATAAAATTTATTTTCTTGTTTCAACTTCTCATTATCTTTTTCTAGCTTTTCAAAATCATTTTCAATAGTGGAAAGGCGTTTCTTTAATGATTTGTTGATTTTAGAAGCGCTAACAAATTCATCATAAAGTTCGTGAAGTGCTTCTTGCATTTCTTCAAAAGTGTAAGAGTCGGAAGAAATGGTACATACCTCTTGTACATTGTCGGTTTGGTCTTCGTGTGCCATGAGACAGAGGTTGGCAGCTTCATCCTCGTCTTGGTCAGTTGACTTGTTGCCGGAGTCGCCACCCCAAGAGATATATGCCCTTTGCCTTTTGAAGTGCCGAGCATTCCTTCCGCTTTTCGGGCATTTATTCTTATTGTGCCCGGCTTCACCACATCCATAGCACATAGGGCCATCCTCAACCTTTTCTTTCTTCTTTAGAAGTTTGCAAAACTTCTTCATGACAAGCTTGATTTCATCATCGTCGCTTGAATCATTCATTGTTGATTCTTTGATGGCTTTTAATGCTATCCCTTTCCTTTGGTCATTCAAAGACGGGTTAAGTATAGTAGATTCATAGGTTTTTAAGTTACCTCTTAAACCGTCAATGGTAACATTTGATGTGCCGATTGACTCATAGATGGCATCGGCCTTAGATCGCCATTCGGATGTCAAGCTCCGTAGGATCTTTCGTACAAGATCCCTGTCGGTGTAAGTCTTCTTCAATGCATGGAGATCGTTGACTATCTTGGAAAATCGGTCGAACATGTCGTCGATCTTCTCGTGCTCCTTCATCCTGAACATCTCATATTCTTGGGTGAGGAAGTCAATCTTGGCTTCACGTACTTGGTCTGTTCCTTCGTACGTCACCTCAAGTTTATCCCACATCTCTTTGGCGGTTGAGCAACAAGAGATCTTGCGGTAGTCATCAGGATTTACGGCACAATAAAGCATGTTTATTGCCTTTGCATAATTCTCGACCTTTTTGATGTCCTCGGCATCAAACTCGTCTTCGGTCTTGGGGATCAACTTGTCTCCAACTTTCTTCATTGGCACCTCTTCCCCGTTTTTGATAACCAACCATAATTGGAAGTTTGTGGAACGAATATAGATTCTCATTCGTTCTTTCCAATATGTATAATTGGTTCCATCAAAAAGAGGTGGCCGTGTGGTTGATTGCCCTTCACCTATTCCTGCATACAAATTTCTAGAAGAAGAACCCATAATCGCTTTACTCTCAAACGGTTAAGTTTGGACGCGAGTTAGGCTCTGATACCAATTGTTAGAATAAGTGACCAACGCTAGAGGGGGGGTGAATAGCGTTTGATCGCAGAAATCGCAGGAATAAAAAAATTAAGAACGTGAAAAGTAAAGAGCGTAGAAAGCGTAAAGGGAGCACACCAAGATTTATACTGGTTCACCACAACGTGTGGCTAATCCAGTCTCCCGAGAGACTCTCTCGAGCTACACTACTTCCGTTAAGCTTACGGGTGCTTAACAAACCGT